TCCTACTGGTGCGACCTACGACGACGAAGCAGTTTGGGTTTAGGGTGTTGGGGTTTGTGGCTTAAAGTTCTCCCGCGGTTCCATTGGGGAGGGTTGCGTCGATTCCGGAGATGGTTGTTGTTGCTGCGTGGGCGTGCGGCAATCAGAAGTTGTTTAGTGATTTAGTGGGTTCGGTCGTATGCTGACGAGCATGTATCGGCGGGCTCTAATGCTGCTACATGGATCACTCGATAGGTTTTTTTGGCCTAGCTCAGCCACGCTCTGCGATTATACCCCGAAACTTAGACTTTAAACCTTCGGAGTTGAAAATCCTAAGGCCCTCAACGTCATTCAACGATTGAGACCCACGCTCAAAAAAGGTCTAAGAGTCCATCTTAGGGGCCCATACTTCTAACCTTAGAGTGATGCCCCAACCCGTGTTTTAAGTTCGAACCCCTCGAAAGAGAGAATTCAAACAAATCCTCAGCCCCAAACCAGCCTTTGCTAGAACCAAGACCCTACAGCCCTCAACACCACAGCCCTAATCCTATAACCCTGAAGCCTCAACCTAAACGCCAACCTTAAATCCCCAAACCCATAAAACCCTAAACTGCAAGACCTAAACCTTAAATCCCCAAACCCAAAAAAGCCCTAAAAACTGCAAGACCTAAGCCTTAAACCACTGCTGCAGCCTGGAGGAGGTAGGCGTACCGGGAGTCATCGCTTTTCTTGGCTACGTCTGCCTCGAGATGGGACGCCTCAGAGCCGCTTGAGTTTGGGGTTCCTTTAAAGGAATCTATGGGGGCTTCAGGAGTTTAGGGTTCCTTTAAGGGAATCTATGAGGGTTTTTGGGAATCTTTGCGGGTTTTAGGGGTTTAGGGCTTGTTAGAAGCTCACGGTGTAGGCTTTGGGAGTCAGTGTCTAGGTTCATGGTTGCAGGTTTGGGTTCAGGGTTTAGAGTTCAGGGATTTGTTTAGGTTCCAGTTCGGTACTTGCGGATGATTTTAGGGTCAAGCGGAGTTGAATTGGCCCCAAACTAGCTCGGGGTACAGTGGGGTTTGTATCTTCAGCTGTTTGCGGGTTTAATACTGTTGATGGACAACTGCATGACCCTAAGGACTCCAAACTAGGGGAACTATGGTATATTCCTTATCAGGGGTAATGCAGGATTTTGTCCATCAACAGTACAGGGTTGATTCGAACTTCAGGTTTGGTGGATACGGTGTGCCAAACGGAACACTCCCCCCTCCAACAACACAACAACTCCAGACTTTCTGCACAGATTCTTGCTCACTCATGAAATAAGTAGCAGCTATCGATTTCTAGCTACCTGATGGCTGGTTTTAATTCCTAAACCGTGTCTAGGAACCCGAATCCTCAAAGGCCTAAAGGCCTAAAGCACCAAGACCAAGACCTCACGACTGCCGGGCACTAAGAGGATCCGGGGACTTAGTAACTACCTACTTACAGTAGAAGCCAAAAAGTTGGAAACCCAATAGCCTAAATCCTCAAGAGTCATACATAGGGAATCCCAGCACTAGTTGTCCTTAATCCGGTTGCCAACTTTTTGGGGCTTACTGTACTTTTTGCCGCAACTAAGGCAAATATACTTATAAGAACTTGTCACCCAACCAAGACAACTACACTTACAATTGCGTATGACCCCAACTAATAAGGCAATAATACTTATAATTTATAATCAATTATAAACCCAACTAAGGTACTGAACCTTAATTCTTTACCAAGTCCCATGATCCTCCGAGCGGTCTCGGCCCCTGGCCATTCCGCGCAGGTCGTCAAGGGAGCTGGGGTGAAAGTCCACCGGAAAAGCATCCTTCGGTTCAGGGTTTTAGGGTTCAGGCTTTTGGCGTTCTAGCGTGTTAGGGTTCTTTTAGTACTAGGAAAGGGGGGGGTGGTGGCCGGGCTTGGAACCTGAGGTTTCCCTCGTGTCCTGTGAGGGGCTCAGGTCTGGGATGTCAAGTTAGGGGTTCAAAGCTGTGGATTGCACTTCACAACTTTTTTCCGGCTCAAAGTGTCAGACTGGAGTTTGAGGGGGGCCTGTTGGGGTAAATGAATTGACCTCATGTAGCCCCGTTATAGGCACTTGAGGGCCAGTGATAATACTATATGGGTAGTTGTAATTCGGGTCCCTTTTTGGGTGCCCTAAATATTAGGTGCCGTATTATTATAAGGACCCAAAAAGGGACCCCAATATTGACAACCACCCATATGGGCACCTGGAGCCTTGGAGATTTACAATCTATCCGACAGGCTTTCGGGAGCCTCGACCGTTGAAAGAGGGCTGCGGGTTATCATCCGGCACAGTATACGTGAAGGGCCGGAGGACGTAAGAAGTATAGGCTTCTATCAGTTTAAAAATCCTAAACCCTAAAGTACCCCAAACGGGAGCATTTTGGGAATTAAGATACATAGCATAGCAACGCAGAAAGATACATGCTAAGTCCCCGGCTGGGGTTTCCCCAAACCCCCTCTTGAAGTAAGCGAGACCAAGCCCGAAAGCTGAATTTTGGTGTGCTTTTGTCGGTTCTTGAGAAACTCTAAGAACCTCAAAGCCCTACGCCTTAAAACCCTAAACCCCTAAACCGCTAAACTCCAAACCCTAAAACCCTAAACCTCACGCGCCAAATCCCGAAAGCCCTGTAGATCCCTTTCAATGGAGAGATGCAGAAGCTTGTTGATGTTCTCGGATCTTTGTTGAGGTTAACCCTCTGCCTCCTTTCAATGAACCCTTAAGCCCTAAACCCGAAGCCTTATAAACCCTAAAACCCTCAAACCCCGAGCCCTGCCCCATAAAACCCTCATAGATCCCTTTCAATGAACCTGAACCCTGGAAAAGGAGCCCTAAACACCAAATCCTCCCTCGCCTGCAGGCCCACCCGGTGAGCGAGGAGGTCAGCGAGCGAGATGTCCGGGCTCGACGCAGCGAAACTTAGCGGCTCTGGCAACTTCCTCTAAACTAAGGTCCCTCTTTAAGGGTTCCTTAAAGGGATCTATAAGGGTTTCTATCAAGTACGATCAGGGTACTTCTCTAGAACCACGCAACTTCCCCCAAATATACCCCAAATATGCACTATGAGGGGCCATAAGGGCTCCTTTCAAGGGCTTCTGGGGCGTCCTGGTTGAGGAAAGTGTCATTAGGTCTTTGGGGCTTTCGGGAGGTTTTAGGGGTTCAGGGTTTAGGGCTTCAGGGGTTCAAGAATCACGCTTAGAGCCTAGGGGTTACGGTTAGGTTTTCAGGGCCTGAGGAAGCTTCAGTGCTCTAGATGTCGTAACCCTGAACCGTGGAATCTAAACCGCAGAAAGGAGCATGGACCCTACACTGCCACAGCCTCAGCTTTCCGAACGGATCCTATATCGTTGTCCTACGGGTTCATGTCCCCACATGGTACTCCTGTGAACTCTCTCAACCCCGAAGGCTTGAATCCATCAAGCGCCACACCCCTAAACTCAGGCTATTAATGTCCATTTAGAAAACTTGAAGACAGAAACAGTCCGAAAAGATCTTCGAACTCTGGGCGCCGATATCCTTCAGAAAACACCTTCAGAATTAGGTTTGGGGAGGTGCATGGGATGTAGTATTTACGGCTTAGCACGATGCAGAGCACAATAAGAACAGTCATAGAGTCATAGATACCATGAAACGAGAATTTGTGGCTCAAGCCAGCAGTGTCAGAAACACTAGCCAACAAAAACAGCAGCCTACAAACAGCATATGTTGAGCATCTATAAATCCCCCGAAACCCTAAACCCTACACCCCTAAACCCATCCTAAACCTTAAATCCCTGCACCCTAAAACCCCAAACCCTATACCTCTAAACCCCTAAGCAGCCCCAGCCGTTTCCAGCCAAGCATCTCGGGCCAGATCTGCCTGAAATGGATGCCGTTTTCATAGGGCTTGGGGGTTCAGGGTTTAGGGTTTGGGGTTTTAGGGCTTTGGGGCTTTAGGGTTTGAGGTTTAGGGTGTGGGGGTTTAGGGTTTTAGGGTTTGGGGCTCATTCATGACCCCTGCGATTCCAAAACCCTTGAATGAAGGAGTATAATACCTTAAATCCCATCCAGGGTGCCTCCGTACCTCGAGGTATCTTGTTTACTCAAGGGGGTCTTCGTAGCGGCCCTGAAACTTTCTGAGACATATATAAGGGCCTAACCCTTCCTAAACCCTAAACCCAAACCCTAAACCTAAACCCTACACCCAAATGGGGGTTTCCGCAGATAGGGGACCCTGATATGGTGCCCTAAATAGTAGGATCCTTATCATATGGACTCCCAAGATAAGGTACCCCTAATTTCGGAAACTCCTAAATCGGTCTGGGGTTTTAGTCTTCATGGATCTTCAGGGTTCTAGCACAGTGGTAGCTTCGAGGGTTTAGGGCTTTTGGGTGGGAAGGCCTAGTGCAATGGAGGGTTTTTTTTACGGTGCAATGGAGGGTTTGGGGCTAGAGGCTTTAGTTAAGCTTTCGCTTTTGGGGCTCACGTCAAGAGCTAGTGGTTTGGGGATCTAATCTGGGACATCCTACCCTCTGAACCCCAAGTTCCGCTGTAACAGACAGAAATTGCCCGGATGTGGCCTTGGGGCGGCTGTCTGAAATTCAGGGTTCGAGGTTTAGGGGTTTAGGGTGTAAGGCTCCAGGTTTCTAGTGGGCTTGTGCTTCCTAATCGTCCACTATTCGCAGACTCTGCGCACAAAGCACTTGGAACGAAAACCCGACGCGGTTTAGGGGCTTAGCCGAACCCTGAAGTCTGACCACTAGCCTCCGCATGTTTTGGCACATGCGACGGCTGCACGCCTTGTCGAGACTAAGTCCCGTGCCACCTACTGCAGCAACGAAGCTCAGCCTTGCCTCTTGCCGAGAGCTTTGCTCGACTTCCTAGTTGTAGATTTAGGGTACGGGTACGTGTCTAAGCAGCTGACTACTCTACATAAGACTCACTGTTAGGGTCTTCTAGAATTGTAAGTGACCTGAGCATTATGAAACATGCTTGCTTGCTGTGGCGTTCTTCAACGCAGCACCTCACAACTCCACGGTGTCTGGTACTGTGGAGGATCGGTGTAGTCGATTCCAGGAACACAGCTGGCCATGCAGGTGGCCCAACCATCATCCTTCTTGTAGCACGTAGACCCTGGAGATGTGCAGCACCTTGTCTCTCCACAATTCTCCACTCGGTCCTCTGAGCATACGACGGGTTGCGGGGTTGGAGGTGTGGTTGGGGGTAGAGTCGGAGGCAATGTCGGAATGGCAGTTGGGGCTGACAACACCTCACAACTCCAAGGTGTCTGGTACTGTGGAGACTCGCTGTAGTCGATTCCAGGAACACAGCTGGCCATGCATGTGGCCCAACCATCATCCTTCTTGTAGCATGTGGACCCTGGAGATGTGCAGCACCTTTTCTCTCCACAATTCTCCACTCTGTCCTCTGAGCATACAACGGGAGGCGAGGTTGGAGCTGTGGTTGGAGGTAAAGTCGGAGGCAATGTCGGAATTGAAGTTGGGGTTGACAGCACCTCACAACTCCAAGGTGTCTGGTACTGAGGAGGCTCGCTGTAGTCGATTCCAGGAACACAGCTGGCCATGCAGGTGGCCCAACCATCATCCTTCTTGTAGCACGTAGACCCTGAGGATTCGCAGCACCTCGTCTCTCCACAATTCTCCACTCTGTCCTCTGAGCATACAACGGGAGGCGAGGTTGGAGGTGTGGTTGGGGGTAAAGTCGGAGGCAGCGTCGGAATTGAAGGTGGAGGTGACAGCACCTCACAACTCCAAGGTGTCTGGTACTGTGGCGGATCAGTGTAGTCGATTCCAGGAACACAGCTGGCCATGCATGTGGCCCAACCATCATCCTTCTTGTAGCACGTAGACCCTTGAGATGCGCAGCACCTTGTCTCTCCACAACTCTCCACTCTGTCCTCTGAGCATACAACGGGAGGCGAGGTTGGAGCTGTGGTTGGAGGTAAAGTCGGAGGCAATGTCGGAATTGAAGTTGGGGTTGACAGCACCTCACAACTCCAAGGTGTCTGGTACTGAGGCGGCTCGCTGTAGTCGATTCCAGGAACACAGCTGGCCATGCAGGTGGCCCAACCATCATCCTTCTTGTAGCACGTAGACCCTGAGGATTCGCAGCACCTCGTCTCTCCACAATTCTCCACTCTGTCCTCTGAGCATACAACGGGAGGCGAGGTTGGAGCTGTGGTTGGAGGTAAAGTCGGAGGCAATGTCGGAATTGAAGTTGGGGTTGACAACACCTCACAACTCCAAGGTGTCTGGTACTGTGGCGGATCGGTGTAGTCGATTCCAGGAACACAGCTGACCATGCAGGTGGCCCAATTATCATCCTTCTTGTAGCATGTGGACCCTGAGGACGTGCAGCACTTAGACTCTGCACAATTCTCCACTCTGTCCTCTGAGCAGATAATAGGAGGCGTTGTTGTAGGAGGCGCGGTTGGAATCACGGTGGGAGCCGATAACACTTCACAACTCCAAGGCGACTGGTACTGAGGAGCTTCGGTGAAATCTATTCCAGGAACACAGCTGCTCCCACATGCTGCCCACCCGTCATTTTTCTTGTAGCATGTAGAACCCGGAGATATGCAGCACCTTGTCTCTGCACAATTCTCCACTCTATCGGCCGAGCATGTTTGTATCTCAGACAAGTCCTCACAACTCCACGGTGTCTGGTATTGCGGAGGCTCACTGTAGTCGATGCCTGGAACACAGCTGGCCATGCATGCGGCCCAGCCGTCATCCTTCTTGTAACATGTAGAACCTGGAGATACACAGCACTTTGTCTCTGCGCAGTTGTCCACATCATCATTTGCGCAGCCACGCATTTCGTTTAGTTCATCCAGGCCCATGTACCTTGCCCTTCCACCTGGGAAGTGTTAAGGGCAACCTGGTTAAGGGTTTGTAGTGCACTCCGGTTTAAGCAAAACCCCGACTACTTGATGCCCAATATAGCGGCCTCAATAAGTACTAATACTAGTTTGAGGGCTCCATATGAAAAAATAGTATAATATACCCCAAAACCCTATTCTAACTATTAAGGCCCCTAGAAAAATCACCAACAGCCAGCTCCCACCTGGCTGGTTCAGAACATCCTGGGCGAAGTTTTGCGCCATCGATGTGTTTTGAGTCACGGACCAGTCCACTGTGGCATTTTGTGCTGCTCCCTCTCGCTTGATGACATCGAACCTGGTCTTCGCATTTACCGGGAAAGCACTTAGGGCCCATTCGGGCTCCGGGGTTTAGGGTCTGGGATAAGGGAGAATGAAACACATCAATTACATGAAAGCCGATCCCTAAATTAAACCGAAAACATGAGATTTACTAAACCTCAAAACGAGCACCTGCGAGCACAATGCTACGATCTACAGACTTCACTGCCGGCGGTGCACTCCACCGCAGCCCAAACTCAAAGAACGTACACTGTTTCATAGACTTTCCGGCCCAAAGTAGGAACTGTTCATGCAATGTAGAAGCCTGAATACTCAGAGAGTACTGAAGCACTTAGAGCCTTAGGGCCAAGACCCCAAAACCATAAATCCCAAACCCGAAAGACCCGAAATCATCCCTAAACTTAAACCGCAAAGCCCAAACAGGGCCAGGAACCACATGATTCCTTTCAACATGGGAAATTCAGCGCCACCGCAGAGGCTTGACGGTGGGCACACCGTCAATCCGAAGACCTGCAGAATGCTGACGAATAGAGACGGTTTAGGGTTTAGCCAGGTCCTGGAGAAACCCAACAGCCTGAATCTAGGGTTTAGTGCTTCGGGCTGAGAGAGTTTAGGGTCGAGGTTCTCCAGCTTATAGACTTATGTGATCAAGCAGTAGCGGAGCCTGACAGAAGTGAAGCTTGATCCCTCAAGAAATGAAAGTGTCAGGTGGGGCGGGGCTCTTAGGCCGCACACGCATAAATCCGCACCTATTGCTCCTTCAACCGCTGACCTTCGAAGCACCCCTGCACCCTGGCCACTTCAAAGATTCTGAGGGTTGCAATGCTCTTTAGACTTTGGACGGTTCTTGGTGGGGACGTGTTTAAGTTGCAGCTGTAGAAAAAACATACTGTTTGTCGCGTGTCAAAATTGTGGTTTGTGCTAGGGTCACTAACAAACACCCAGCACTGACATGAGCAAGTATGCAAATTTCATCTTGCGGCTTGTGGATCGGGGTTCAGGGTTGAGTGGAAATGGGATCCAAACCCGAAGCCTTGTAACTCCAATGCGGTGTGAAGGTTCTGTTTCCGGAAGGCCTGCATCCACCAGTTTCTCTTGATGTCCATATTGCTGGCCGCTCCTTCAGACGTTTCTGCATAGTTACGGCTGTAAGGTGTCGAGAGCTTCAGGGCGAAGGTTGGACTAAGTTGAAGGGGCTTAGGGCTCAAGGATCTGTCTAGTGTTGGATAGTCCTCCGAATGGCGCCCCAACTGCGTAAAGCGCCGATGACTCGGTGAGCATCATCGGCTTGCTGTGTCCACCTTGAACTCTGTTATGGGCGAAAAATGGACATGCGTATTGATAGAACCGCATGACCTAAACCCTAAACCGTGAATTCAAGACCCAAACCCAAACAGTGAGTTGCTAGACTCCGTAGCCCGTAGCTTACAGTTTCACGGGGAACATGTCAAAACCTCGGACCTAGCGCCCTGACGGCTTCCCTGTCGGCAGACGCCCTATGTGTACCTTCAACATACTTTTTGCAGGGTGTTGGTTGAAACCCTGACGCAAACTCATATGAAACCGTAGGTAGTGTAGGAATCCAAGATCCGCTTATAACGGTGAAAAACACCCCAAAACCCCGGTTTGCCTATTCAGGGCCCTATATGGAATCAATGATAAGTCAAGGGAGACCAACAAACCAAGGCGGCCACCTTGCGGGGAGCAATAGATCAAGTAGAAGTCGGGGGTACTCCTGTAGTCGCCAGCAGGACCGACGTAGTTTCCTCTGAGAAAATGTCTTTGCTTTGGGGGAGGGTCCTTTTATGGTTCGGAGTTGTGGGTTCAATGCTTGAGGTTACAAGCAACCATGCGCCTCTGATGCGATTGACGAAGTAGTTGTCCTGTGGAAGCTGATTCTCGCCAAAAGGATACTGGAGACCCCAGGAATAAACAGTAATACCAACCCAATCCACCACGTCGTCACCAGGGTAGTAAGGCACGTAGGGATCGTCAAACTTGTCGAAAACCTGCAGCGTTTAGGGTCTACGGATGGATGATCATCCGGTTGTGCCGGCTTCAGTACGATAGCACCGAGGTTACATGCAAAAAATGGTGATCGCCATTGCCTAGCTTGTAGCTGATAAGAAGAATGCACGCTCGTACTAACAAAGCACTCAGAATAGTTTAACAAGTGCTCTCAAGTCAGAAGAACTCCATCTCCGTTGGTATCCACTTCTGAGAAGCAAGACATCCCCTGCTGACAGTTGTAGGCGCCACCGGAGAAAGGATATCCACTCCCTTCGTTGACAGACCAGACCATTCCACTGCGAGCAGTGATTGCGTGAATGGCTCCTGCTCGGGAGCTTACTTAGAGGGTCCTGGGACTTAGTAACTAGGGTTAGAAACGAGGTAACCACAGCTACACTTGGTTATAAGTTATAACTCCATTTAGGTACTTTTGATCGTACTTAGACTTAGTCCCAAGATCCTCCAAGTAGGGCCGTGGAGGCTTTAGGTTCGGTCTGCTTTCAGTCGTAGGCCCCAGGTGATGTGGCTGCTTTCTACTCTAAGATAAATAAACACACACACACATATATATATATATATATTTATTTAATTATTTATACATATTTATATACACACATATATGTATATATATATATATATATATATGCATATATATATATATACACATATGCATATGCGTATATATATATATATATATGCTTGTATATATATATATATATATACATACATACATACATACATATATACATATATGTGCATATATATATATATATATATATATATATTAATATGACATATTAACACAGTGTATAGATATAGGTTGAGGGCTTCGGGTTCAGGGTTTAGGGGCTTCAGCTTCCTCAAGTGGTTCGCCAAGGGCAAAATGTCGGTGCATACGTTCAGAAACTGCATCTGAAATCCAACCCTAAACCCTGAACCATTCCTCAAATCTGCAGACTCCGACCTTCGATGACGATAGCCACCATGAGCTTGACTGTCTCTGACACCGAAACGCCGCGATAGACATGCCCCAACCCTAAGGGTCCAAGTACCCAATTATCATATACTCTCCAAAACAGTAACCTACATAACTACTATCCTAAACCCAAGTACCTAATTATTGGGTCCTTTGGACCCTTAGGGCAATGCTTCTGCTTGTTCCTCTTTTGCACTGCTTCGCCTAATCTTGCTCCTACGATCGATAGCTCAGTATATATGGTGCAGCGCTGCTAGGCCCCCCCTCCCCCCCCCACCCCATGGTATACCCCCCTCCCCCCCCCTGTGGTTCCCTGTGGTGTGGGTTCCCCCCTGCCCGTTGGTTGCGGTCGGCTGCGCCCCCGTCCATGACCGTAGGATGTGATACAGGTCTATTGAACTCCGACCTGCCCTGAGCTCCAAAGCCAATGATGGTGATGAATATAATGGTGATGATGATGACGAAGATGGTGGTCATGATCCCCATCCGCACTCTCCTCCGGTCCCTTGCTCAAAAGTCCCGAATGAAAACCATTCAAACACGTGCTCAAGCTTACTTGTAGCGAACCCAACCGAAACTTGGCTTGGAATGACAACGGTCGATACAGTTTGCGCAAGAACATCACAAGCCAAGCACGGTTTTCAACTAGATAAAGCAATGAACATGCGGTGCCGAAGCCCGGAGCAACATAAGAGCAAAGGTACCACCAACAGCCACACTGGGACTAGCACATCAACATCATTGTGCACAACATTCTCATATGTGTTCGAAGAGAGGGGAAGGGAAGGCGCCGCTGGTTCCCTGCGTGGATTATCCTTCCCCACCCCGCCGCTGTGGTTCGCCGTCTTGTGGTTCCACTGTTGTGGGTCATCCCTCCCGCCCCTGCCGAGGCGAGAGGCGAGGCCTGGAGTTACGCGGATGACGTGTGACTGTTTGGCCTGATGGGACGAGACGCCTTTCTTCGCGGGGGGGGGGGGGGGGGGGGGGGCATACCATGGGGGGTGGGGGGGGGGGGGCCTGCGACGCGGCGACGCGGCACCATATATACTGTCATGTTTTCCACAGCCTCCATGCTCCCTGCTTCGCTACATATATGGCATTTATGCTTCCCTCACCCTCCCCTACACCGCATCACTCACATATCGTCAGAGGCTGGATTGAAGGCGCCTTATTCAAGCAGCATCGGATGTATCGTCCCTACACCCCTCCCAAAGTGTCCAAGCATCATTATGGTATATACTTAGACCCCCGAAAATACCCTATAAGTATAATATACTATAATGATGCCTGGACCCTTTGGGCTTATAAGCCCTAAATTAAATAATTGAGTCGCAAACCTGCAGTTGCGCTGCTGGAACACCTAGCCTAAAGCAGTCCGTCCCAGTGCCAAACTCTCTGGACTCCCAAGCCGACGCCCTAAAGCCGGGTGAACACCCTAAGCTCCCAACCTTACAGCCACAAAATCTAGGGCCTTAAAGGCTAGACTGGGCTTGCGGCGAAATTGTAGTACAAGTATACTGAGACTGAAAGTAGGGTATAATATGTCAAGCTATTCCGGCCACACCCCAGTTTCCGCCGCCTCGCCTGCCAGCATTCGAAACGTGGATCGGAACTCACTTGGCCTCCAGGAGCGCAAATGTGCTTCATGGTCCCAAAGGGTCCAGGTATCATTGTAGCATATACTTATAGGGTATTTTGGGGGGTCTAAGTATATACCAGACTGATACTTGGACCCTTTGGGGGTTTCACCCTTCAGAGCTCAAGCTTCAGTGCAGGTGTTTAGGGTTGGGGCGGTTAAGGCTATGGGTTTACAAATGAACTTCGGAGGTGAAGGCATGAAGTCAGATTTACAGCTCGTCCCTTTGACAATATGGCTTGGCCCGACGCTCGAAATCCTGAACCCTGAACCCAACACACTAGACGCTCGCAGTCCCTTTGGATACACCTACCCACAGCGTCACAAGGATCCTCACCTATATCAACCTCAGAGCAAATCCCCAAAATCCCAAACCTCATCTACCCCTAAACCCTCAACCTTGCAATCTGAAACCCTGAACCCTCAAAAACCTCCAAACCCCACATCCTAAATCCTGGTGCCTCTGGCACCAGGGATACCAAGCGCCATTCATCTCGTGAGCATAACGAAGGAGGCAGCCAGCCCCCCCTGAAGTTCGGGTTTATTGGGTTAGGGTGAAGGATTTGAGGTTAAGAATTATAGGGTTTTGGGTGTCAGGGGGCTTGGTTTTGGGTTGGGAGAGTGGCGGGACTCAGAGTAGAGTAATTAAGGCCCTCCCACACACCCGCTTAAGGTTTGGGCCTTTTAGGGTTTACGATCTAGGACCTAGGACGTCCTGACTAGGGTTGAAGGTAGAGTACCCAGACTCCAACATCCCCTAATTACGGAATAAATTAATTAGGGATCCTACTCTAATTTAAGGTATATTTCCTTAATTAGGGGATATTGGAGTCTCTGGAAAATTAGGCACCTGCTTCCTCGTAGCGCCGGCAATAGCCAGCCAGCTCCTGCGCATCGGATAGTTGCAAACTGCTCCTAGGTTCGGACAGAAACTGAAATTACTAAAGGGTTTCCGTTAAGGGATCCTTCAAGGATTCTATAAGTACATTAACTATGAAGTTTCGGGTGTCAAAACAATTCTATCCTCTCACGCCCGACTGGTTTTGTAGGGTAGCGAGGAAACCAGATCAGTAGAAACACAAAACCAACTTCTTCAGTTCCCAGGTTCATGTTCGAGAAGGGCTCGGCAGACACCACCACCGGAGCAAGTTGAGCCGCACTCATGAAGTTCTGCAGTCTCCATCGGTCTCCTCGAGGTAGGTTTCGTCTGGTAATGCACCCAGGGACAGACCAACGTAGGGGCCTTAATCGTTAGAATGGGGTTTGGGGGGGTATGATTCGGAATGATATGGTATAATTTTATTAAACCGCGAACCGTCGTAGTATAGAACCCTGTGCAGGAAGCACTGGCCCTCTCCAGATCTCATTGGGATTTCGATGAAGATGGTGTAGCCAGCAGGTGCCATGCCACCAGCCTCTCGCATCCGCTGTGCAATGACGGAGGGCGGCTGATCCTAGGCCGTGTTTTGGGGTTTACTACAATCATTTACACATAACGACCCTCGGGAATGATATTAGTAATACGTGCGGCTTCTATTTGAGGGCTTAGGGTTAGGAACTTGATGTAGTTTACCATCAACACAGGACTAGCAGCAATGATTGAAATCTGAACCCTAGGCCCGAAACCCCTTGTATGGGGGTATGCTCGTAACAATATACCCATCCCTATGATGGTACCCCCCCCCCCCAGTAGATCCTTAACAAGAACCAAGGATCGTCTTGTGGAATGATGCCGAAGATCGTCTTGCCGTCAGGTGGCTCTAATCCTCGGAACTTGCAGGATGGGCGCACATGGGGTTTGGGGGCGGCTTCCTTTCTGCAGCGGCTTATCGGGGGTCCTGGGGGGTTCGTGGGGCTCTAGTCTTGTACTGGTTTTAGGTTTGGGGTGGAGGCTGCTTGCAGTATCAGGGGACCTAGTCTAGTAGGTCACTTACATGTGGAGCTGAACAAACACCCCGGGGCTTTCAGGCTTATGCCATGTGCTTGCAAATGTATGCAGGATTTGCCCCGCGAGTACGACTGTGAAGCCCTGAAGCCCTAAACCCTTCTCGCGATGTTGAAGCGAGGATCATTACAACCGGACCATCATGTGGGCCTCATTAATTATTCAGCGAGGGGTTCATGGTCTGAAGTTGAATCTGTATATATCGTACTTAAGCAGGCAGCTCTAGAAGCTTCTACGGGATGTTTCGCTCCATGTCAAGCTCCGCGGTGTATCATACATGACTCAATGACATTACATCCGAAACAAACACTCCCCAAAACGACCTTGAACCTCACGCCTGCAAGTGACAAAGGCAAAGACCTGAGAACAAAACACCTCTAACAAATTTCGGAAACAAGCAAACAATATCTAACAGCCTTTGGAATGAACCCCAAAGCCTCTGGAACAACAATCAAAGTCTTAACCCAGGAAGGGCCTGGACCCAGACCCGGTAGTTGACGTCGATGCGCACCCGCCATGGATTTGCGGTGGTCTCGTCTGACCTTCGGAGCTGCAAAGCAAAGCTCAAAGCTAAGGGCTTTAGGGTGTGGAAGCACTAGAGGTCTAGGGTTCAGAGTGGTAGTCAGGGCTGTGACTCGGAGCTTGGCAGACATTCTAGTAAGTAGCCTTTTCAGTAGCAGTGTCAGAAGGAGCAGCAGGAGGAGGCGCAGTGGCAGTGGCAGTAGCAGTCGCTGCAGCACGAGTACTAGTACTCGGCAGTAGGCGTACCGGAGCAGATACTAGCTATATAATTACTATTCCTGCTACTGGTACGTAGTACTGTTGGTACATACTGGTTGTTGTAGCAGCAGCAGCAGCAGCAGCAGCAGCAGCAGCAGCAGCAGCAGCATTGTTGTCACAATTGTCAGATTGCCAGTACGTCTAATGGTGATCAGAACATCTACGTCCCAGCGGACCAGGTCGCACCAGGTCTACTTATAAATGTCGGTGGCGAGGGGATATCGCGCTGTCATGCTCAGACCACTACACCCAGGTATTCCAGCCAGTGAATCATGCTCATGACCGAAGACGGAGAATCCGTGACATGGGATGCACCCCTGAAGCAACTTGCTGATGCCGGTTTGGGAATCCCCGCGCGAAAACCTGCCAACCATGCTGCCAAAGCTTCTGTCTGCAGCAGTCCATGTTGGTCACTGCAGGCTGGTTCGCTGCAGGATAGCTTTGAGGCTGCACAAAGGGTAGCAGCGAGCGCAGCCTGTAAAACATGAAAACACCATCCCGCCATCGCTCTGACAACGGAGGCTGCTGCTGAAGCCGCAAAGGCTGTGGTCAGGAGCATTGAAAGAGCTTCAGCCAAATCACTATGAGTCACTATATCGTCTTCACTGCAGAGGGGCAGACGGGGAAGGAATTCTCAGACCTGACGCCTACTGAGCCACAAAACCCACGTGAGAATGCCTACAAACAATCATTCTGGGACTGATGCACCTGTTGAACACTGATCAGATGGTGGTGCAGGAAAAGTGCTGCTGAAGAAGTGGATGGCCACTACGACGAAAAACTCATGATGATAACAATAAGCATACTGCTGAATAATTATGAGGATGGTGAACAGGTTGTTGATGATGAGGAGTGGAAGAAATGATGAACAAGAAGATGAGCAATAATAGTACTAGCAATTACAATAGTAACAACCATAACAGTATTTATAGCAGTCATCATAATTACAATGGTAATAAAATGCGGATGGTGATGATGACTGCCGTGATGAAGGATGAGGTGAGGATGATGATGAGGATAGGGATGACCAGTGCCATGATGCTGCTGATGGTGGCGATGAAGATGGTGGTGATGACGATGAGGATCAGGATCGGGATGACAATGATGATGAAAGTAGTGTGAAGATGAGCCTAGATGGAGGCCGAGGTCGAGGTCCCTGCCTGCCGTCGTGGACCAAACCGAAAACACTCAACACTGAATCATGGGATTGGGGCCTGAATATGTAGAAGAACAGGGCTCCGGTGTCTAGATGTTAAAAAAAGATAAGCAGGGATTATGAGGGCATGTAAGATACACATTGCCTCAAACCCTGGGCCCTCAACCCTCAAATGCCTATCGGCCGCCAAGCCGCGAGACAAGCATCTTTCGAAGCAGAGTATCCAGCCTCAGGCTGTCCTGAATTGGTGCTTAGGGTTGATGGTTTAGGGCTTTGCTTGGCGATTTTGGAACTTGTATTTTTTTGTACAGGTGTGCGGTTCAGGACTTCGAAGCTGTGGTGTTGTAACATTTTGGGCCGGCTGCCAAAGAATAAGATCATCTCATCTAATCCCGAGTTTTTAACTTTAACCTTCACCCCCTGAAACCCAAACCCCCCCTAAACCCTAAACCCTAAATCCCCTCCAGCGCCAAAGCCTCAAACACCTGGACTCCACAGGAGCCCGAATCCCCAAGTCCTGTCGTGCAACCCTACTTGCAGGTCCATGGGACTTAGTAATTAGGGTTATAAATGTGGTAGCTACAGTCTATAGTTATAATTACAGAAAATAAAATATTACGGGCCACTCTCTATAATTAGTCATTAGGTTATAAATATGGTAACTAGTGTATGTAGTTGTAATTACTTATAGCCCAAGTAAGGGTACTTTAACCTGACATCGCCCAGCGGCATCCCCGCTTTTCGCGATGAGCTCCTCTGCATGCCTGTGAAGGGCCCGGAGGAAAGCCAACCTCGGTCGAAGAAGCAGAGCCTTTAACGTAGGGGCCTTAATAATGAGAATAGGGTTCTTTATATAAGGGAGACCATAAGGGCTGCTATAAGGGGTCTACAAGGGTGCTATAATATAGGGGGCCTTGATAGTTAGAAAAGGGTTTTGGGGTATCTTATACTACATGCATAATAAGGAACCCAATATTAAACTTTGGTGCTTCGGGTTATGTGATTGTCTAAACTTGGGTTCAGGGTTTACGGTTTAGGGTCGTGTTTCGGGCTTTGCGATTTTGCTCTAAAGGTCTTTGGCCTTCTGCGGCTCAGGGTTTAGGGGTTTGAGGTTTACAAGAAACAAGCCTCTACACTTGTTTTCAAGGGCTCAGACCCCCTGAAACATGTGTGATTCACATGGATGCGTCGCATTCACCGCAACCTTTAGCCTATAAACTTTCGGGTTTAGGTTTAGGAGTTGTAGGGTCTAGAGTTTGGGGTTTCGGGGTTTAAGGTGCTGGATTTAGGATCTTGGTTCCGGGTTTTAGGTTTTAGGGGTAGCAGCTCTCTCAAAGCTCTGGGTTGCCATACACGGGATTCTATGAGTTTCTTTAAGGCATGATAAGGGCTCTTAGGTAGGGTGCTGCAAGGTTTTTGTAGGCATGGTCGAGTTTCTACAGTGACGAGGTTCCTGAACACTAAACCCTGAACCCTAAGGGTGCGAACTTGCGGTGCCTTACTTGGGCGTCCGTAGAATGACAATTCTACTACTCACCCAAACCCAGAAAGGAATTATAGGAACTATAGATCCCCTAATATCGGGGGGCGGGGGAGGCTATTCTACTAAAGGGTACTTAGGGAGTTACTGGTTGGATCCTCCCAGGGGTCTGGGTATAAGAAGTCCCCTATCTACTGAAACTCCCAGCTGATCCCACATGCACAGAATCAGTTTCATGAAGCGCCTGAAAATTCAGAATAGGGCATGGGCACGCTTTCGCATGCTTAGATAGGGACCCGGGTCTGAACATTTCGACCTTTCTTAGCATTGGAGCTGAAAACAAAAGCCTTGAACATACGATGGGACCCAGGCTGAAAAGTTTTCAACAAACCATTAGAAACACACACACACACAGACACACACACACACACACGCGCACACACAGAGACATTCTAAGCCCGAACTAAAGCACCCTTTGAACACCCTTTCCAACCTTACAAGTACCCATCTTTCAATTATAAAAACTGGCAGAACAAGAAGCGACCCGATGCCCGCAGTGGCGCCGAGCAAAGGAAAGCGTGTCTTCTCCGTGACAGGGCGGGCATCGATGGAGGAGAGCCTTTGGGGCGCTTACTGTAGTGGCCTAAATGACTACCTACATTATTGTGGGGTTCTTTATGAAAGCAATCGTAAGCCCCAACACCCTTTTATTGTAGGTATTAAGGCCCCTACAGTATGGGATGTAACGAGTTTTAGGGTGTAGAGGTAAGGATTTCGGGGATTTGGGATTTAGGGTGTTCAAGGTATATAAAGGCTGCTTTAAGTTTTCGGAGATTTCGAGCTTGTCTTTGTTTGTGACCTTTTCTGGGAGAATCATGTTAAAGGCATGGGGGAAACATGGCATGGCGGAGCTTTCAGGGTTCGGCGAGTGAGCGGGTTATCACTTTTTCTTAGGAAGGCTTCCATGATGAGGGTTTATAACGGCTTTCATAGGACCCGAGACTTAGCAGATTTGTTCAGCGCGGCAAAAGTCTTTCATTTCTTTACAAGGCCTTTAACGAAACCGGGAGTGCCTGGGCACCCTGAACCAAAGATTTCGAAACAATATGAAACCCATAACCTCAAAACTCCAAAGACTCCGAGACACCCTAAACCCTTAACCGCTCCCCTCCCACGCAAAACAACCGAAAGTCTAACCCAAACACTCGAAAGCCTTTTGGTCCTAGCTGAAGGTCTCGTGTTGTACTTAAGGTTGTTTGAAGTTTTTGTGCGTGAGAGTTGAGCTCGGCAGCTAGGCGGCTTCGTAGGTAGGTAGCAGAAGGTATGGTTGAGACTAAAATGCCACGATTGGGTCACTTGGATGCTATACCCCAACTACAACCTCCTGACGAAATTCCCTGGTGCATTTAAACAATTCTTAAAAGCCGCAACTCTGCAAGACCTTTAAGGCCTTCTACAGCGCCCTCTTAAGTCTTAAGCCCCCACCATTTCCGAGGCCCAAGCGTGCCGCAGGCAACACTGCAAATCACATCACCAGCTCTCACCACGGCCACCTGCGTGGTGTATCTTTACAGGGTTTCGCAAGCTTTTGGAAGCTTATCGCGTTTTTACGAGGACTTGGCGGGTTCTACAAGATATCTAAACCTTAAGGTCCTAGTCCTAATCTTCAACCCCTTAACAGCAAATGCCTCCAAAGAGAATGGTGCATGTCTAGATGATAAGCAGTTATCGTTCGAACCCGGCATTGTGCCGCAGCCAACTAGCTGAGGCCCGCCCGCACGGTTACGTCGGTTTTGTCGGCAGGTGCAACATTTTCGAGGCTTGGGAAACGCAAGAACGTGGATTTTACCCGGAGCCCCAGCCAAGAACCCTGGTCGATTGTCTGAACTTTCTAGAATGCACACGTTTCATGGTGGGGAGTGTTCGCCGATACAAGCATTTCCGTTATATTACACATGCCGGAACTCATGCAACATGACTCAAGTTCCATGCCGGCCACGCAGATCGACCATACGGCTAAAACGGGTTGTTGCACGGCCCAAAGCCAGGGTGCTAAGAATTCTGGAATGGCCATGGATGCCCCCTTCTCAGAGCGACTAAACCATGGACGCGATCATGGTTGGGCCATGCATGCTCTCTTCTCAGGACGGACTAGACCATGGGGGTGCTCTCGTCTCAGAACGGATTGGAGCACGGATGTCATCACGGTTGGTATCACATCATGGTTCCCTTCGGGCCTAAAATGAAACCATACGCGTACTTACTGTTTAGTATCATGGAATTTCAGACTATATCCAATGGAGAACCCAGGGGAAATGACTTTACTATCACCCCACCACCACCCCTAAACTCCAAACCCCTAAATCCTACCCGGACCCCCGCCCCCCCTGCCTGCGCTCCGACGATCTGTCGGCGCTTCCTGGGCTGCTATGGGATGGAGAAACATGTTGTTTTTTCTAGGGTTCAGGGTTTAGCTTGATGGGTCCAGGGCTAAGAGTTCACAAGTCAAGTTGCAAATGCACACTGTGAGGTCGACTATGTCGAATAAGTCATCTTAAGCAATATTGGGCGTTTTTGCTTCACGGTACAGGTCCTGAAGACCCAAGACACCCTCGGACGGCTCCGGCTCGTGTCCAGGAGCGATAAGATCTTGCAAGGCGCCACACACTGACTGCACTAAACCCTAAACCCAAATCTAAACCCAATAGGCTTTAAGGTAATCAAACAAGTTTAAGGGGGGCCAGGTGATCTTACGCCGCAAGAATACGCACTTTAAGGCCGCGACGAAAGGTTATAGACTACGATAACCTCAAACACTTCTGTAACAGCTAAGGCCACCGAATATTGTGCTCCTGACTGATTGCAGGCT